GTGTGCTCTTCCGATCTATTGTTTGAATTTGAAACAATGTATATCTTTGGTCCAAACAAACCAATGTTTGAATCAATAATTATGATTGTTTAAATTTAAAACAATGTATATCTTTGTCTTAAATAAATTGAAAAAAAAAAATTTTTATTTTATGATTACATATTATTTTTAGAGTTTGTTTTTATTTATTATTTCGCATATTTTTTATTTTATTTATTATAATTACGCAGGTTTATAATTTTTATAAACGCATCAATGAGATTTGAACCTGAGACCCTTAGAACAGCAAACTTGTACGCTAACGCAGAGCTAATTATTACTTTGTACAAAGGACTTTTTCTTTTCATTATATATTCTAGGATACTATCATTATTATTGTTATTCTAAGTCGTCATTACTAGTTCTGCCTTCTACAGTAATAGTTACGGAATCGCACATGGTTGAAGTCATAAAAGTAAATAATAATAAATAAATATTAAAAGTTTAATAATAATGAAAGTATAAAAGTTCTTATAATAAAAGTATTCAATATAATCATATATTCTTTCAGACAGTATTGCTTAGTCTAATTTTTTAAATATTACTGTATTTTTCAGCAACTGTTACTATTTTTTAGTAAGCATCTACGAATTTAGACTAAAAGTTGAGAATTGTCGAAAATTCAAAGACTATTACTGTTTTTCAATCAATATTTCAATGTATATATGTTAGTAAAAATCTTAAATTTTAATAAAATTCTTTATGATTCTCCTCGATTGTTTGGAATCAAATTTTTTCAATTTTTCATTCTAATCAATAAATTAATTGTAAATAATAATACTCTTATTTCAATCAAATATTCTGTATATTATTTTTAGCTTAAGAAACGGTTTATTTCGTTGAGTAATATTTAGAGTAACCAAACAAAATGTTATTTAATCGAAAAATATTATATCAAACAATCGTGTTTTTTCTGTCAAACAATATAGTTTAATGCAATAAAACAAAGAAATTTGTATTCAACAAAATAATGTTTTATAAAGAAATATTGTTTCTGTAAAATAAATATACGCCAAAGAGAAATACACAATGTAAAGAAATCTTTTTCTCTGTGTATAAATTAAATATAAGGTATGTTAAATCCATATTAATATATTGTTTAAAAAAAAACAAATAAATTAAAACTGTTTAAAATTATTTTTAAAATAAACATAACTTTACATTTTTTAATTATGTCGTTTACAACGCTCCGTTTATTTAATTATTTATTTAATTGTTTTGGAATAAATATATACATACCTGTATTTTTGGAAAATTTGCTAATATGAAGAGAACATAATTCATCGTAGCAATGATTGTGTCACTACTCTACATAAAAATTTATTTTAATATACATTTATTATTGTAATCATATTTATATCGTTGTACATACCGATAGTAACATGGTTAGTACGTTATCAGAAATTTCCTTTCGGGTAAAATTTTCTTTACTGCATGCATCCATTTGGATATCAAAAAATGTTTTATCTATAATAAGTATATCATATAACGAAAAGTATATATGAAATAAAAAGAAAAAATGAAGAAAAGGTAAGCAATCTCCATTATGATCTTAATATATACATATATATATATATATATATATATACTATTCCAATATATACCTATATATATATATATATATATATACCTATATATATATGTTGCGTCTTCAAGATTAAGATCATTAGAAGATGCTCCCCTGTTTTTCAGTTTTACCATAAATTGGAAATAAACACAGGAGGAAATTGTTTAGAAGACTATTTCTTAAGAGTAAAACGAGTTAGTATTTTAATGTGTGCTTTCCAATTATAATGATACAACCATTCTATTCCCTTAACATTCGATGAGTAGCAAAAAGAGAACAAACTTGTGTTGACTTGTGTCACCAAATGGAAAGCACCCAGAAGTACTTCGACTATATTATAACAATTTATTTTGCTTAAACGTTGTATTTTTATAGAGATCGATTTTCATATAATGATAAACTCACGAGTTCGCTTCTCTTCATTCCTAGTTGTATTCAAATTATTTATTTCATCTTCGCACTGCTGTATTATCTGTTTAATAATAGATAGTGTAATAGACGTTAAATAATATAATTTAGAATATTAACAAATATATCATACCTCATCCGTAAGAGAATATATCATATTTGTTATCTCTTTTAGTTCGCGTCCCGCAGCAGAGAGGTTGAATATAACATCCAAACCATACATATACATATGCAGTGATCTATATTGGAGAATACTTTTTGCCCTGAAACATTTTTGTTTAAAATCAAAATTTTTATATAAGAGATATGATTATAAAAGCAAGCACGGGCAATAACTGAAAAAACCAGAAAAGACAGAATAAAATATAAAGCAATTAGAAAAAAATGCGGGATTACAGATACTTGTCGAATTTACTAAAGACCGAAGAAAACAGTGAAATAATCATGTGGAGAGAACAGACACATGTCTAATAAAAAAGTAGTAAGAAACAATAAGCCATCAAAAAGGCGGTCATCCGGAAAACGCCGAAAAGATGAACAGAAAGTTGGCAAAAAGTGCATATTATAAAACGTGAAGAAAAACTGGCTGTGCCTAAATGGTAAAGGAAGAAGAAGAAGATTATAAAAGCATATTTAATTATGTTTCTTTACTAAATTTTATATGTGGAATTACAAAAGATATTTCTTTGTTATACTGTAATGTATTAATTTATTTATAATAAAAAGGTTTATTATATATATATATATATATATATATATATATATACATATATGTATACATATGTATATTATAATATATTTAATATTTAATAAAAATATTTTTTAACTTTAAATATATAAACAAATTTATCAAGGATATTTGTTAGAGCTCACCAAACACGCCACAATCTGGAGGACGGCCGCGAATTAGTTTAGTTATATTAGTTACTTTATAAGCTCGCTATGAGCACGTTATCTGATCGGTTATCGGTCTCTCATTCGTATTACGGAATAAAAGTAGAGGAGAGTTGCCGAATGCGTACCACTTAAGATATTTTTGGTTATATTTTACATTTGGTATTATTTAGAATGCAAACGAACGTTGGAAATTGTAGCTTGATGTTCAAGG